AGGAACCAACTCTAGAGTGCCGCGTACACCATGCTGCGTCTTACACAACAAACAGGGAAGTATAGCTTACAGTGTTTTCTCTCTACATAGAATCTGCATATATGTGCTTATGTATAAATAGAATGTCTCTGCTTAAAACTATTAACACTTGTATATCTGTATAAGGGAAACAGGAGTCTGAGGAAACGAGAGTAGGAGGGAAATTAACCATGCACTACAAATTTCTTGTATCTTTGATTTTATTTTTAATTCTATCAGCTAAATATTTTATACACACATACATTTCGAAGGGCCACTTTTGAAGCCAGTCCTCTAGAGTTCCGAACAAGCGTGGTGTAGTTCAAGCCCCAGCATGGGTCACCAAATCCAATTCAAATGATATGTGGGTGCGTTTATGATCAGATATACATAGATGGCACTAGGAACAAACCAGCCGTGTTAGCTACCTAAACTACTGTTCTGAACTGGCCATTAAGGTATATGGATTCGTTGCGCTGCCTCTGGAAGGGCAGAGCTGGCTGTGTGGGGACCTCGGTCTGTTTAGTATGCAGCCACAGACACAGCATGAATTTCACAGCAGAGGAAGGGCTTGGTGCCAAGGCCAATAAGGGATAAGGTAAGCAAGCCCACAGTACTCTTTGTCCCTAAGACACCCTCTGTTTTGCGTGTCTCTGAAGGCTGTAATTAAACAAGATGAAAAATAAGCTTTTCACTGGTGAACTTATGTATTAGGCAGACAGAAGCCTGACTTCCGTCAGTGGAGTCAATGATCTTAAGAATTCCTGGAAGAGGAAGTCAAGGCAGCTAAGTAGAAAAGAGATGGAACGGGAACAAGGGCAGCATGTCTGGTTTAGCTTTAGAAACTGGAACTATGGCCAACCAGATACATAGATTCAGTAATTCTGGTGAAAAACACATGCAGGATCCGGCAGCAGGTGGCTGACGGGGATTTCGGCAGCTGATAGGAGTGGAGTCTAGCATCACAAGAGCACTGCAAGTGCCATTACTGTATTTGATGCTAAAATAAAATGCATATTCATCACCACCTTTCTCTTCACAGGTTGCTGTTTATCTGTTTACCTCTGTGACTTTCTCACAGCACTCCCAAAGGCCAGTACAGTAGATTTTGCTTAAGATTTTTGCACTTTTCCTAGTGCATTCCCTTCCCAACTTCATGACCATTTGATCTTGGAAAAGGAAGTCTGCCCATGAATGTCCCTTTACATGCATAATTTTTAAAGCATTTTATTTTGAGATAATTATAGATTCATATACAGTTTTAAGAAACAATACAGAGGTCCTACGTACCCTTCATCCTGCTTGCCCCAATGGTAACATCTGCCTAACTATTGTACAATGTCACAACCAGGACATTGGTACTGATATGCTCCACTGCCTGCATGATTTTTGTAATTTATGTTTTACCACTTAAAAGTTGCAATTAATCTAATAATTTTGTTCAGTTGCATGCTTAAGTGCATGAACTTGTTGTAGTGAGTGACCATCATTAGGAATTCTGGCTGAAGATGGGTGAGGGTGACGCCTATTCATAGCACTGTGATCTTTTATGTTGCTATTACTCTATAGACTCCTTATGTTTGAATATAAGGGTGGAAAGAAGTAAGAATCTCAGGAAGAATCAAGGAGAAGGAGGAGAAGAAGAAGGAGGAAGAGGAGGAGGGGTGTGTACTGTGATGATATAAGAGATTACACTTACAAAATTCACTGAGTACTTAGATGTTGGACCTATAATTCTTATCTTGGTAACAAGAAAATGGGCAGATATATGGTCAATGGTACAGTGCTGGTCATTTACTCAGCCTGTCTTCTATGCTAAGAGGAAGTAAATCCTACAGGAAAGGATGGACATGAGGGCATATGAAACTATTCTCTGGATTCGGAGCCTGGCAGAAGTTCAAATTCCCTGAAGCTCTAAAGACAAGTTGCTATTTGTCCTTAAAGGTCATGACATGCAGCTGTTCCAAAAAAATCTAAGGACCAAAATTCAAGGGATTAAGTAAGAATAAATAGAAGGTATGAATAGAAGTGGGCAATTCATAAAGGAAGGTCCAAAGAATAAGCAAAAAGGCATCAGCCATTCTCTGTATGGAAATTTAAGGCACAAGATCAGAAAGCCCCAGGCTGAGTCACCCCTTCACAGCTAACCACAAGCATGGCAAGGAAACATTCATCTTCTCTAAAAGCTGTGTTTTCTGCAAAATGATAATATATTGACTTATCTCCTTCACATAATTTTTTAAAAAGATCAGCTTGAAAATATCAACATGAAATCAGATAAGGCATAGACACAAAGGATTGATTAGTGAGGCATAATAAAATAAAATAAAATAAACTCCAAAATTAGTTCCGCTCATGGAAACTATGGGGGGATAGGCTTATGCAAGGAGGACTTTAAATGAGGAAGCATGTCTGGTTGTTCAGTTTCATCCTTAACTTCTTCTCCCCAGTGAGAAGAAATATTGATCACTTTGCTAAACCAGTGGGCAGTTTTTAGTCCTCATCTTACTTGGTCTAATTGGTAGCATTTCAGTTGGGTAATCACATCTTCCTCCTTCTTAAATGGCTTTCTTCTTGCTTTCAGAACAATACATTTCCTGATTGGCCTCCTACTTTATTGATTGCTTCTCTCCGTCTTATTTGCTGATTTTCCCAGACTTGACATGTTAGGGGTGCTCTCAGCCTAAGCCTCAGAACTCTTTCTTTTCTATACACATTCACACTTTTGGGAATTTCATTCAACCTCATAGATTATCATCCATAAACTGACAGCTCCAAAACTCACCTCTCCAGTTGAGCTCTCTTCCTTGAATTCATAACCAACTGCCATGCAGACACTACCGTTTGGATGTTTTCTAGACTTATGCAAACAAACTTGCAGCAAATCCAGTTCTGGTTTTCCCCATCTGCCCTCTACCTTCTTATTCTCAA